GCAAGTGTCTTGCAGGCTGTTCGCCCAATCTAGTTATGTCTTGTCAAAGCTGATTTCAACCCTAAATCCGGTGGGTTTTGAGGCAGAAACATTTCTACTCAGAGATGCCAGGGACCGAATCCAGGACCTGCATGCAAAACTGGATAATCGTGCAATTGAACTCTCCTGTCTTCCTCGTCTTTTGAGGGCCCCTTTTACAGTCTTGTGACATTTTCTGTGGATCTGACACTCTCGCACAAGATGAGCTGCATTCTGCCACCGGCGTTCTTTAGTGCGTCGCGATCTTGATGGCGTAGAATAGATGGAGCACGGAATGCAAAGCCGATGCTGGCATGATCTCTCCTTTTATGTGCCTGTGTATATTCAATCAGCCCCGGAACAGATTTAACTTGCATATTCAGTGTTTTGGGAAAATTGTGTTAGGGCTGCTGTCTTGCTTTGATTCATTTTCCCTGCACAGTTTTGCCCACACTTACCAGCTGTGTAACCTTTCAAAGAGCAAGTTAACTCATTGGGGCGAGCTTTACAGCTCTTGCCGAGCGAGTGAAAAAAAATAAAACAAAACAAAAAGGAGAACATATTTGCTCGGCATTTGTGAAAATCTTCAAGGCTCGCAATGTTTATCTACTCGTGCATCTCATGTTATTCCTTAGGCGCCACTCAGCATAGGAAAATACATCTCTCTTTAAAAAAAGTATGTTCTTGTAGACAACCATCTGGTAGTTAAGGAAAGGACCTTCTATTTCAACCTTGATTTTTCAAGGCAGGCATCGCGGAAGGACCGTTTTCAAGTTTGCATGTTGTGACAGAACATCCTGTGTACACAAGATAATGCACTTTCATCCATTTGGCTTGACTTAACGATTCAAAGTGAGACAGCAGGAGGATCAGTCAGACACGTGCCTCCCATTTTCTGCCTGCTATCTCCAGGTGGTTGAAGAAAGACAACTTCAAAAGAATCATCACCTCAGAAAGAAAAAATTAACAATGGTGATGTCTTCCTTGTTTTTATCCTGTGCTGAGATTGTGTTAACAAATATGTGGCTTACTGAAATAATAAATCAACAGATTTTGGTATCCGGGAAGCTCCTCCAACAGAATATAGAGCCCTAGTGTACCTTGCAGTGGGATCCTGACTTTTTGGCTGCATAATAAGTGGGAAGAACAGTGAAAACCACAATAGAGACAAAACTGCTCTCTGTGTTACTGTGTTGAAGGATAACACCTGAGGCTGTGCAGTGCTGTGAATGTGAAGGGGGAAAATGCTATGGGGTATATTTGAGGGGGCAGGGTTGCCTTTGAGTGAGTTCTGACTGTAGGAGAAATCCATATAATTTTCTAGGCAGGATTTTAGAAGTGGTTTGCCCTTGCCTTTTTCTTCCTAGTACAGGCAGAGAGCACAACTGACCCAAATTCAACTAGTTGGCTTCCATGCCTAAGACAGGACTGGAATTTGGGTTTCCCTGTTCCTAGTCCAACTGTGTAAGCATTTAGACCAAACTGACTCTTGCGTAGTGCCTGTCCTGTGGGCAATTCTTTAAAGCAAACTGAGATCATGCTTTTGGACACATCCCTTTGAATCCAATATGCTGCACGGACCTAATAAAAATATAAGGAAAGCATGGTTGAATCAGACTAAAATTTTATCTAGCCAATTTCTTGTTTCCCATCCAAACTTCCATAGGAGGTTTGCAACAGAACCTGAGTTTGCAAAGTATCTGCTAGGAAGTGTTTTCACATTCATCCTGAAGATAGTATTGAAGGTATACGCGAAGATAGCGACACAAATCAATCTAACCTTTGCTATTTGCCTCTGTTAAGAATTGCTTGTGCTATTTTGCTACTGTTAGGAATTAATTCTGTAACCCTTGCTTTGTTAAGAATTGTAATCTTTGCTGCTGGTCTAACTTTTGCTATCTCGCTTCTGTTATTCGCTTCAAAACTAGGCACAGTAAATAAGAAAGATAGAGCATGGAGTTACACAGGAGCATCCTACTCCATGGATAATGGGGCCAGAGCAGGGGTCTGTCCAGGATCATGAACACACTAGGCTACAAGGGATGCTTTGTAAGATAACAAAAGCATGGACAGGGCATGGACAAAGAATGCTCCATGGATAAGGGGGTCATGGGCAAGACATTGCCCATGTTGGGTAACAAACTTTTGACTCTGATTGGCTACATGTAGGTATAAGATGTTGGTGTCATACTCTTCTCGGGTGTGGCCTTTTCCTTGCATGCTTGTTGTCTGTATGCCATGGAATAAGTCCACCCTTTTATTTGTACAAATAAAAGCTGTTATTTTTCCAAGCCTCTTCTTAAGTCTCTCTTTGGCATTTTAAGTGCATTTTTGAACCTTACAGTATATAATCCTCACAACCAGCTTCCTTTAAAGTCTTGTTATTGACACCACAGCCATCCCGAGGCTTAAAGACTGCATTCTATATCTGAGTATTACATTACTCAACATTTTCATGAAATTGAAGAGGATGCAACGGTACAACTACTGAAGGTTGAAGAAATGCTGGCAGGTCACCAAGAATACTGTGATCTCAAGCAAATGTGTGTGAGTTTTTATGCTAATTATATGATCAAGCCAGTATTGAATAGTAACTTTTCCAAAAATGAACTGAGGTTTTTGTTTTTTGTGAAATTGTAATACAGCAGCATGATGACAAAAAGGTACACTGTAGGTAGATATCAGAGACTTATCTGAGGTAAAAAGAGTTCTTAAATGCCAATTCTGCCTTGATTGTCCTTCCATGAAATACAGGAAGAACTTGTGAACTTCAGTCTTCAATTTCCAATCTTACTATGCAGATAAAATATGGCTGTTTATACATACATTCAGCATATGAGATTTACAAAAAGCCACCTAGATGGGCTTAGAAACAGAAACTGCTATTCAAAAGCCGTAAATCAGTATTGGACTAAGTTCTTGTAAAGAGGAAAAAAAAAGTGATGGCAACCCATGACTTTTCAACCCTATGAAGACAATGGGACTACTTTGGAATACACACATTATATAAACTAGCATGGAACTATTTAACCAGGCACCACATTCACAAACTCTAAACTAATTAAAAATTAATAAGTGTGCGCATAATTGATTAAATATACATTTAGTAGTGTATTTAGCCACAATATAATATAAAGCAAGCCAATATCATTTAGAATATTTTTTCTTAGCATTTTTCCCGCAAATGCAGGGTCTACTTTTTTCTGATCAACCAAGTGTTAATCCATTGGTTGCCACAGGAATTGACTGGCCAGCTTGTTTCTTGAGCCTAGCTGAGAGAGAGAGAATAGCTGGCCCAAAGTCACTCAGTTGGCTTTCATGCCTAAGACAGGACTAGAACTTATAGTCTCCTGGTTTCTATCCCAGTGCCCTAAGTACTAGATGTACCAAATAAGTGCCATTTTATCTTTTCCTCTCCTACTTGTAGCTTCAGATCTTTCCGACCTTTGTTTGCATATATCTAAATCCCTTGGAAGAGAACCAGTGTGGAAAAGGGACAGCAAAAGGGTGAATGATAGGAAAGGAAAAGAATAAGAAATTCCCCTCTTTTCCTGGTCCCAATACTCTCCTTTTGAAATAAATTTGCCACTGGGAGTGACTGCTGAGATTTTATTTCAGAATTTGGAATATAATAGCCAAAATATTCTCTTTCAGAAAATATTTCTAAATCTCTTTGCCCAAATGTTGTTGTTGTTTTTGCTTATGGAGACTCTGTAGAATTTCCTTCTGAAATGAAGGTCATCATTAAATTCCATGAATACTAAAAGCAAGATAGCATGTGGAACACCATTCACTGAAATTGCAGAATTATGATGTTACATCTTGTTGATATTATTATTATTTTGCAACAACATCACCCAGTAATTACCATTCAGGCACAAGAATCATCTGAATAATAGCTACAAGATTTTAATTCTCTTTTTGAGAAAAATGGTTAAATTTCAGATTTGGATTGGATGAAGCGTTGGATCTTGGGATCATAGTGTTGGGATACACAAATCTAGCATTCCTATGAAAAATAACCAATTTATTCTATCAACACTTTCTGAACCCAAATATAAACCAAAACTGCAGGCTGAAAACTGCACGCTTCACATTTTCCCATTTTAAAAGGGAGCATAACAGTATATGTATGTTTAGTGGAAAATATGCACTCATGCCCACTCTTTAAAGGGCAGAAAACTATTGTCTGAAAATGTATACCAATAAGTAGATGATGAAATCCTGCAGAATTGTAGGCAGGTTTTTTTGTGTGTGCTCCTAACCAGTTTGATAACTGAAGGGTTGAGAAATGGAATGAATCAAAAAGAAAAAAGGTTAAAAAAAATGAGAAACAGGAAATTTGCTGTTCTCCAGTAATATGGGTTGGGCTAAGACCAGAGAAGTAAAAATATTTTGTCAGTAATATGGAACCTGTTTCCAGTGGCTCTCTCTCCCTCTCCTAGATGACTGAGTAATTTTTTAAACCTGAGCTGAAAGGCAAAGCAATAAAAAGCAATACCTTTGGAACCACCTCTGAACTATCCTTTTGGAGATAAAATTTTCATACTTGAGTAACTTTGTACCAAAGATGCTTTTCCAGAAGGCAACTAGACTTTCTTGGCTCTTGAACACAAAAGACAAGAATGTCCAGTTGCCTTATAGAAAAGCACTTTTCGGACGACCATGACTCGGATAATTGAAAATCTCCATAGACACTTGAGTGACTTGTTCATTTCTATCATGCTAGCAAGTGGGAAATGTGTCATCTATTGAGTTCTAGGTACCTCTATATTAATTGGGTAGAGGGATGAACAGACTCCTAAGATGAGAAAATGGCTTATGATGGTAACCTTATGAAAGCCAACATTATGGCTATAGAGTATATTAAAAGTTGACTTAGTTTAGCAGAGGAACAGTATACCTAATATTCTCCTAACTCATCAGTGCATGATTGTTCTTGTACCCAAAGAATCCAATTGTATCAAAGGAGATTTTCTTACTTTACTGGCTCCCATGATTCCCGCTCAAAGCCCCTGTGAATTGACTGGGCAATAGAGGACTCCATGAGATCGACATATCTAACCACAAGTGGAGCAAAGAGATCTTGGAGATGTTTGTGGTATTTTCCATTGCACAAATTATCTAGAACAAACAAATAAGAGCACAATAAGACACTTTTAGTAGCATTCCGCAATTACAGTGTATTTTTAAAAAGGTAACTAAATTAAAAGCCCTATCAATAAATGAATCTGTTGTCTATTTCTTTATTCTAGAAACATTTCAATATAACAAGGAAATAATGCAACCATGGCACTGATTGTTTCTCAATGATACTTAAGAATCACTTAAGTAAAATTTTGACCATTCCATCAAAAAATTAATAGACATTTTAAACATTTTAACATTTCACGTTAACGATAAATGTTAACATCAATGTATGTTATTTAGTTCCAAGAAGCTCTTCCATTACAAATATAAACTGGTTTCATTTAGAATTCTAAGACCTCTTGGAAACTTTATTTTTTTAAATGAAACTTTTACATAAATACAGAAAACTAAACAAGAAACCCCCAACTTTTCAGAAAGCTTCTTTCTGAAGCTTTCTGAATAGGAATACTTGGATACCTGCAGGATAGTCTTATGCAAGCTTATTTGGAAGTAAATCCCAGGATATTCAATAGGACTTAATTTCTAGTAATTGGATCTATTACTGAAGATTTAAATTAGTTTAAATTATTACTGCCAACCCACCCAGAATCCTGAGAGATGGGCTTTGTGTGAGGTGAATGCCTCAATTTTCTCAGAAATCTATTTGTCACATTGTATTTAATACCCTTCGCTTCCAAAACCATGAGAAAAGTGAAAGAAGCCATAATGAATAAAATTAATAATCCAACTCAGTGATATAAACATGAAAAAGAATCTTCTGGACCATTTTTTCAATAAAAACTGTTCTTCTCTTGTCAAGCAATACTGCAGTGAAAACATTGCCTTCAAAGGTGCATTGTAATATATTTCTGTAAGAAGATGGTGGTAGATAAGGAAAACTAAAATGACTGTGCAAATCCAACACATCAAGAGCACTTTAGGAGACCTTTTTGAACAAATCCATGTCATTTAGTTTGGGACAAAAGTTATCTTGATTTCACTTTTTCAGAAAAGTTTTACCTTTTTTTGGTTCTCATAAAACTTCTAAAAGTGACAACAGTGCTGCTTTTATTATTCTTTTATATTATTTTTAGATATCTATGACTATTTCATAGTTTTTATTTATTTATTATTGTTTAGGCTACTTCGCACGCGAGGGGTTTCTTTTTAAATATTTTTTTACTCCATCTTTCTATATGTATTAGAATTCTCTTCCTAAACAAGAAAGAAAGCTTTGCTTCACTTAAACGTAAATCTTTTCACATAAAGGTCTCAGTGGGGAAAAATATGTCTCTATAATCTGTGTGTTTCCCAAATTATTATGGCTCTCACCTACTTTTTCTTTAAGCTTTTAAAGAAAAATACTTTTTTCATTGTGTATAATGCTAAAAAGAAGCTCTTGTTCCTAACGCAAACCTCCCCATTTGCACACAGATGAGAAAAGCTTTGTGGGCCACAAATAAGTACCAGAAGCTTCTGGCACAGCCTCTTCTTTGGTACCCTGTCTCTTCTGATCTTGTGATGTAAGGGGGTAGATTTTCTTCACAAGTCTGCATCCATTTCTGCAGCTTCTCCAAATAGATTTGCAATGCAATTACCATGACCTACCAGCTGATGGAAGGAGAAATTACAAAGCTGGTTGGTATTGCTTAGTTATAAATTGAATCACAAGGACTGGATATCTTTTTTTTTTTTTTTTGCAGAAATATGCGTATGCTCTGAGGCTTGGTTGTGGGATGCTTTTGTGTATATGTGTGTAACTGAATATACAAAAACAGGTTTTCCCCCCCATAAATGAGGGATTCTTGGTGTTCTCTGAGCTTGGTGGTTTTCTTGCCGAAGTTTCATTACTCAAACTAAGAAACATCATCAGTCCATTCAGAAAACCAGAGCAATTTGTGAAGCTACTATAAGCGACTTAACTAAAGGGTTAAGTGAGGAAGAATTGGAAATCAGTCAAAATGAACATTAGCCCAACACTTTCATCTCCATAGAGAATACATTAAATGGCCGAAGTACAATACATACAGTCACTTCGAAGGGAGTCATTTAGAAGCTGAAACAGTGGAAAGCTGTCCCAGGTGTCGGGGGGCTGGACTTCCAGGGCAGCATCCATGTCTACTGCAAACAATGAGAGGAAGGTCTCCGCGTGTTCAACCATTAAGTCTGACCACCAAGCAAAGGCCTTGAAAAGTCACAAAACAAAACAAAAATAAAATAAAATAAAATAAAATAAAATAAAACAAAACGGAAGTGTTATTAAATTAGATCTCATGTTCGGGAGGCCTTAAATAGTAAACTGAGTGAATATCTTAGACAAATCTGGCTTTATTGTAAAGCAAACAGTGGTACAATCGCTAGCATGTTGCAGTCACAAGGCAATTAGGGTGCAACAGAGCATCTGCTTCTCAAGGAGTAACTTCTCAAGGAGTAAATGTTTCAAGGAGCAACTTCTCAAGGAGTAAAGATTCAGAGGTATAATCGTCCACATCTGCACTAAAACATTGGACGTGCACCTGTTCAGTTTACAATAAATCACTTGATTCCTTGTGGATCATGCTCTTTCTTAAGAGTTCCTTGTGTAATATATCACATTTGGGAGTTTCTTCACTGTGTTTGTAGGTTTTCTGCTCCTCTTTCCCAGGGAACCCTCAGACATTGTTACTTTAAGTTATCAAGTATGAAAAGTGGGGATTTAGTGTCCACAAAACACCCCCATTTACACTTCAAGCTCAGCTAGAGGGTGAGTTTTCAACATAAATTAGCAATCACAATGAAAAAAAACCCCACATGATATTAGAAGGCCTCTCTCTGCAGTCAAGCTAAGATAAAACTACTAAGAAATAAAGAACGTTGAAAACCAAGGAATATCAGTGAAGTAACTCATGGGTCATGCGCACGGGTCCTCAGGAAGTCACTGTACAGCTTCTCTGAAATGACATTCACATCATACATGTCTCAGATGTGAATGTGCTGGGAACACATGCACGCGGTGTTTAAAATCACTTCTGGCTTAGGAACATGCAACATGAGTGGTGTTATCAATAGGACCTGGTGCAAGAATGACTAAGCAATAAAAAAATTGACTCAAGAGTTCAATGCTTATCTTTAGTAATTGTCATTTTCTAAAGAGGTAGAGTATTTTGACAAGTGAGGCAAGGGCTAAGATTATCTGATTAAATAAATACATGTCACTGAAACCCTGCTCTATTAATCCATATTCTTACAGGTAATCTTTCCAGTGATTGCCTCTGAATTATATAAAATGCTGTCTGAAAACATATATGCATTAGCCATCTGTAGCCTCTTTTCAGAGACAGATGAAGACTCCTTAATTTTTCTTCCAGAGTAGCACAAGTGAATAAACGTTACATTATCCTTCCTCTGAAATGAAAAGGACAAATCGGTCATAGCTAACAAAAATTCTTCCGATCTCAAGGGGGCATATACCTCAGTCTTTCTCTGAATCTTGCTAATTCTTTCTCTGAATCTTGCTAATATTTTGTTGGCAGAATATATTTCAAAGAAGATAGTTTTGTCTTTCATTTCCCCTAGAAAATAAGACAGGGATCCCTTGAACATGGTAGACAGAGGACTAGAGGACTTACTTGTAGAAGGGGAAAGGAGATACTCCAAATTATTCATCTGGCTCCCATATGTGCCAGATGGCACTATATAATGTTAGGAGATCTCCTTAATTCTCCCTTCTAGAGACCATTCCTCTCTTTTGGGAGCTTTTGGGCACTTGTCAGGTGAAGAAATCATTGAATAAGTTACTTTTCCAGAATTCCATTCCGCCAGCATGACATTGGAATTTGATGCCTGTGAACATTTTGGGGTTGATTTGTTTAAAATACTTAAGACATTTGGAACATAATATGAGCTTCTCCAGTGAGTCCTTCCTTCTCAAATACTTTGGCCACCTAATGAGAAGGAAGAACTCACTGGAGAAGAGCTGGGAACGATTGAGGGCAATAGAAGAAGGGGACGACAGAGAATGAGGTGGCTGGATGGAGTCATTGTAGCAGTAGGTGTGAGCTTTAATGGACTCCAGAAGATGGTAGAGGACAGGAAGGCCTGGAGGAACATTGTCCATGGGGTCACAATGGGTTGGACATGACTTTGTGACTAACAACAACAACATGAGCTTTTAAACTTAATTAGTTATTCATATTTAATATCAAGAAACAGGGCAGTGAGAAAAATAGAGGAAGATTCAACAGAAGTGAATGAATAGGCATTGTTTCTAAATTATTCTTAAGTGACATCTAGCCATGGATATTAATTTTGAAATGTCAGTTAAAAGATAGAACTGACATTATAAATACATCAACAGTCTTTTGTAGAACAATTCCTTGTCCAGTAAC